TTTTTTTAGTAATAACACTAGATAATTTTTTTTTGTATTTTGCTGCATGAGATTTTTTTTAATGAATGTTGGATATTTAAACGACGCTGATTTCGAATTTGAAATCAGCTTTTCCCTCAAAGCTAAAGTTTTCTAATGACATTTTCAGACTATTTTTGTAAAAACGTGTGTTTATAAACGTTATTTGTAACATAGGATCGCATGAGTGTTATGACAAACTTTCAAGGGAGTTAGGACACATCATCAGAATTAAAATTGCATAAAAACTCATGTATGGAAATGACATCATACGCCACTTCGATATTATGAACTGTGCTTTTGAACAGTTCGGAATGGAGAAGCGTCTCAATCTGCGTATGAGGACATTTTCGGGAAGGAGTTTTTATGCAGTTTTAATCCTGATAATGCACCTAGACCAACTAAAAATTTGCTAGAACATTAACGTAATCCCTTATTATATATAGCGCTTTAAACTTGTACATATCGTCAAAAAGTAGACTAAAATGTGCATTAAATTCTGTATCTTTAGAAGCCACACTAATTTTAGATTTGAAATCTCCACACCTGAATCAGTCAAGATCAAGTGTTTGTATAAATGAAACAAAAAATTTGTTTCTCAGTGTCATTGAATCTATATTTAAAATCATTCAGCTAAAAGAATATCTAAGCATCAAAACATGATGTATTCATCGCTCTTTTTTGTAACGTATATTGTATGAAACAACCACACGCCTTGATAAAATATCTTTCTTTCCCGGAAAAGTCAAATTTACAAATTATTTTTAGCATTTTTGTTCGAAACATCTCACGAAATTTTATAGCCACGTAATCTTTTTGCATACACAAAAATATAATATTTCACATTTCTATTAAAAGTTCTTATGAAATGAAATAGTAAAAAACTGGTAACCGTAGGAGAAGTATTAAAATAATATTTTGAAGACAGTATCTGTAAAACTCTAATAAAAACTATTAATGATTTTAAAAGAACTAAAAAATACTGCCAAAATATATTTTAAACTATCTTGAAATGAGAAAAATTAAAACAAAACTTATTCCTGGAAAAGCTTGTTGATACATACGTTGATACATACGTTTGTTGATACATAAGTAATTATATTTTTAAATTGCGAACTTATGAAAAAGCATTAAAACGTAACGTGTGTCAATTTCCTTTAGTTTCAGAAAATAGCGCTATTCTTAATATGTGGAGCAATTAGATCATCTTAAAAATTAATTTTTAAAAAAAATGTTATATATTTAAAAAATGTTTAAAAAATTAGTATTAATATTTAATTTAAATAGCTGTTAATTAAATAGTAATATTTATGTCGTTTGTTTACTTAATTTAAAACAGTTTTAAAAAATATTGCTTGTCATAATTGATTGTTAAATAATTTAAAAACATATTTTTGAGCTCAAATAACACTCTTAAAGATTTAGAAGTTAACGAAAGAAAAAAAAAGTTAATACCACTTTTGCAATATCTTCTGTAAGTTTATTAATGTTAATTATTATTTATTAAATTATTTAAAAGCAAATTAAATACTTTTTTTTAAACCATTTATTTATCAGAATTGAATTTTACATTAAATTTACTAGATTTTTATATTAAATTTAGAATTACATAAAAATTATATTGAAACATTTTTGAAACATTTCAAAACAATTAACTCATTTTTGAGAAAATATGTCTTATATCACAAGTAGAAATATTCCATTACGATGAAAAAGATACATTTTATACTCATTATTATTTTTGTTTAAATAACTAGATGCAATTTATCCTAAAACTCAAAGACAACATTGTCTTTTTAAATTCAAAGTAAAAAGTTTGGACTTAAAATTGATAACTTTAAACTTAATAAAGTTCTAAGCCTTACTTTTCTCATCTTTCATCTTTTAAAGGATTTCAAAAACATTAATTCCCATTCGAAAAGATATATTTTGTATTTCAAGCTGAAAACTCAAAGCGCACATTATATTTTTAAATTCGAAATAAAAATGTTGAAATTTTATTCTTTGAAAATTAAATGTTATTTTTTCGAATGTGGTTTGCTAAGAAATGCAGACTATAAATTATATACTCTGCCAAAACAAATCTCGTGAAGAATTTTTTTTTAAATAAGACTAAACATAAAAAAATATTTATAAAAAATACAAATTTAAGTAAACGTAACATGCTTTTTTTAAAGATCCTATTTCAGTTGAACACCAAAAGAAATAGAATAAATTTTTGGAATCCTTTATCTATACGGAAACAATCAAGTATATACTGAAGATAGAATGCGAAAAGGATCAAAATAAAGAACACCTTTTCTTCAGAAAGGCTTCTTAGAATCTGAAGAAGCTGTCCAAACCACTCGGAAAATTCATTTTTCAGCCTCATTTTATATAGATGTATAGTTTCTATATTTTTTTTTTCACACTCTAGAAACACCAGGGCTGTTATGTTTTGTCCGTTTCTCAGCTTGTGCAAGGTTGGGTGGGCAGTAAGTTTCAGTTTCTGCAAAGCTAACATCGATCCAGATTTAGGCGCGATGGTGAAAATGTCTGATTCCTGATTTTAAGAGAAAATCTTTTTGATGCTCCATTTGAGGGATTTAATCTCCGATGGCTTTAAGGGTTTTTCGCTCCTTTTAAATCCTCTTTTATAATGTCTATTTTAGCAAGAAATAGTTTTTTTTTCTTTCTTTCGCTTTATTTATTTATTTTTTTTTTGATGACCAGGCTTTCAATCAGATTTCTTTTGAGATTTGCCATCTTGTTCCCTTGCCATTGTTATCTACAATAGAAGTGTTTTTTTCTTTTTCGCATACATTTTTAGCGCACAGAAAATATAGAAATCTTTTCTCGTGGATATATTTCTGAGGAGACTTCTTTTCAAAGAATACTTAATTTTTGTATTGGAATTCAGACATCTGGACATGTTGAACACTTAATAATTTTAATTATGTTATGAATGAATATTTAATGATTATAATTATGTTGTTGGACATTAAATATTTAAAATTCAGCAAGGAAAAATTAAAAATTGAAACCAGCTTAAGAAATTATTTTTTTAATTTTTGTATTAAATGTGATAAAATTTAAAAACTGTAAAAATTATGTTAGTTGAATTCATACTGTAATGATTAGTTTTTAAAGTTTTGATAGCTTTAATTAGAAAAGAATAATAAAGTTGTTTTCAGAAAATAGAAGATTAAGCCCAGTTAACTATTTTGTAATGAATTTTCCATCCTGCCTCTGAAGAATTATAATATTATATTCTAAATAACTATTTTATATTTTAAATTACTAGTTAAGAATTTTAAAAATAAATTCGAAAGAATATAAAACAATTATCGTAAATCTAATTAAAAAACCGTATGTAATATACAAAAATATACAATATAATAGAAAATTTTCATCTAGTTTTAGGTGCACAAATAGAGGTTTATTATAATATGAATAATAGAGCAAAAAACGATGAAAGTATTGTCATGAAATAGTTTTCAGTTAAAAAGTTATTTTAAAGTTTAAGTAAATAATATCATCTCTGCTTTATGTAAATATAGTTTTTTTGCATTTAATAAAAAATGTGAATTAACTCCCATAAGTATTTAAGAATTTAATTTTGAAATAAATATTCCTAGAGGATAAGCAAGAGCTCAGGCACTATTTTCTTGGTCCTAATTAATTAACTAAACCAATACATAAGCGCAAGTAAATTGTTATTTTTTTTAAAAAATGGTTACAAACCGTAATGGTAATGCATTAAAGTAAAAGTTCTGATTTAGGGGAAAAATTAAATTCTGTTATCGAAGGCTGGTTGAAATAATACTGTTCATGTTTTATTGTTTGTTATAAAAATATTGTATATTTTTATAGGTGAGTTATTCCTTTTCAAAGGTTTATAACAGTAAAACGTTTTAACTGTCTGAGCTAAAGACTTTTTAATGATAGTATTTTAACCCACTGGATTTTACTGCCTGTCGCAAAATCCGAAACTGTAAAACCTCGAGACCTTTTGAATAAAAATACATTGATAGAGATTGCCGTTGCCAATGTATTGCCTGACGAAAACTTACAACTGAAATTTTTTGTTACGCAAAGAGAAAATATTAATAAGTCAATGAGTTAAAAATATTTTCATTGAAGAATAATAATTTAAATCTCAGTTTTGATATAATATCCGATATTAGTTGATGAAATATGTATAGGGATTTGATTTTCCTTCATAAGAACAAAATTTTAAAAAAAAATTTCTAAATCAATTATTGAATTAAGAATAAAGTACGATTTTTTCAGTTTTAAGACGTAAATAGTCAGGGAAACGAATGAAATTAACAGCTAAGTCAAATTAAGTCATGTTTTTTACTCGCGCAACAGCAAGTACTGTCTACCTAACGAAAGAACTCATCTTGCAGGTTTATCAACTACTATGGAAACAAGAAAATGCACATTTTAAAAAATGGAAGAATTTCGAAAGTTTTTTTTTGCCTGTCTGAGACAAAAACTATCCTAAATATTTACTTACATACCCACTTAAAATAGTTTGACCGAAGCCACCGATAGTGCATTGAACATTGGAGAAAGAATTTCTTTAGTTAAAGAGATAGTAATGATATTTCAAGTAATTTATACGCTATTTTTCTGCAAGTTATGGGAAAGCAATTGTCCATTAAAATGTTTGTAAGTTCTATGATTCATGATTTCCTCAAGCAGAGTGTAAGGACATTATTTTGGACCCAAAAGCAAGTGTGTTTCCTAACCTTGTTTGATTTGTTTACCTTATCTAAATAAGAAGGTTAGAATTTCGTATTTTTTTACAGATAAAAAATTCATTATTCTACCTGAATAATTGCGGTATTATTTACGATTTTAATGTAGCATTATTGCGTAGATACACTTAAAGTACCTGTGGTGTCTTGAATCCGTTATCGAGTTTGTGCACTAAGGAGACTACTCTCTGCTTCATGCTATATCTATCTAACTGTTTAGTAGTAAAAAAAACTTACCTCCTGAATTCAAGTAACGCTTTTGTTGAATTGGGAACCCCGTTATCAGGCCACGACATAAAGTGGAACTGGGTAACAGTTCTGGTTTCGCTAGTTCGCAAATTCTTTAAGTAAAAACTCCGTACCAAATAATCATCACACCAAATGTGTTCCGAAACCAGATGCACCTGAAATAATTAACAATTGACAGTTTATTTCACAAAATTAGGGGGAATTGCAATGAAAAATAGTTAACTCTTTGACGTAGAATTTTTATTAAACATATTTTTTATACTTTTCTTTTAGCATTTTGTATTAATTTAGATCAAAATAAAAAAAACGCATTGTATTTAGCACTTTAATAATTTATGGTTATGGAATACAGCATGAAACAATGTTGTCTTTTTCGGTAAAATCTTCCAAACAATAATTTGTCAAATTTGCAGTTATTTAGATTTAGGATAAAAATGATTCATCACTGAAATTTTTCAATTTACAAAATCGATTATTGATTAATATCTGATTATGTATGAAAGAAACAATTTTCACACTGCTTTTTTTTTGGATTTTATATTTTCGTAAAAATATAATTCCTGTAGTCTAGTACAAATATAATTCCTAAATATTTTTCAGTAACTGCTTAGCTATTTTCTTATAATTAAAAATGCCAAAATGCATTTTTACTTGTAATGAAAGCGTCAGAAAAAAAGTATATAAAAAAAATTGTCCCTTCTGGGCCAAAGAGTAAAAGCATTGTAATTATTTTTAAAACTGTATTTTTATTTTTCCTTAAAAAAATGTAGCACTATTCTTAAAAAATAGTGAAGAAAATTGCTTTAAAATTTTGCAAAAGTATTATATTTATAAATAGAGATTGTAAGTTTACGAGTTTTGATGTATGAAAAAATACTTTTCAAACCTGATGCCTGCATGAAACAGTTATGTAATTAAATCGAAATAAAATTGTAGTTAAAGTTATGTAATAAAATTGAAATGGATTATTATTGTTTCAATATTTATACGTGGTTAAGCTGGACAGCAATTGAAATATGAGTAATAAAATATCTCTTAAATCACAGCAGAGCTAAACAATTAAATATTTAACTTTATAAGGAAGTAGACGTTATTTAAACAATTATTTAGAAGATAGATTCTCAAACTGAAAAGTCTAAGATCCTGTGTAAGAAAAGTATTATTTAGAGCTCTCTTTATAATTTTTAACTATTTAAACCATTTTTCATATATATTCGACATAAATTTGCTAACTACCGCTTACTGATGTGTATCAGTGAAGGTATATACTTTCACTGATACTCGTTTACTGATACTTTTTTCTTTTTAAACTGTCTCATTTTTAAAATCGAGTTTGATGAGAATTAGTTTATATTAAAAAAAACACTTTGCAGTTATAGTATTTTATGTAGTTCAATGAAATGCATGATTTTGCCTTAGAATGTTATCAGGTATCTAACTCTTGTAAGCATGAGTCAAGCATGTTTCTAAATCAATTCCAAAACATATGTTTCAAAATTTTGTCTGAGAAAGCAAGCCAAATATTCAAACTGCCACTCACGGTTTTATTGCTTAAATGGCATCTATTATAATATACAATATAGTATTGTATTTACATATATATTTGAATATAATACAAATGCAGGTTAGTTCCAGCAAAAGCAGTTAAAACTCGGTAGTCGTAAACTAGAAATTGGGTTCGCTGTTCAACGACGGTTATAAAATAAAATAAGGAAAATGGATTTGTTAATCGTTTTATCATTAATAATCTTAAGTTATATTCTATGTCCTTCCCTTATGGAATTCCCAGTCCTAGAGCTACGGAATCTTAGGATTTCGTGGAACATTGTTTTGGTGTACACGCTTAAATGAATAAAAGGAGCCTCATGGTTTTATTTGAAATAAGTCAGAGAAAGAACTGCTATTGAAAATGGCTATTAAAGAAGCATATTTTTTAATTAGCAAAGTTAGTTATTTTAGTTTGATTTGAAAACTCGATAGGAAATATGTATGAAATTTTTTTTTAAATTCATGCCCTTTTCATAATTTATTTCACAATTTATTCAATTCTTTTTTTCATAATTTAATCTATTTTTCATAATTTGTATTTTTTATTATTAAAATTGTGCATATTCTTAAAAGCTGCCATTTCTTTTTCATTAGCATTTCTGTTTAAATAATTTCATAAAGGCAACTGAAATATTAAATAAATAGTAGCCTTAGGATTAGATATAATTGAAAGATCATTGCTGGTTAAAAAAAATTTTTATCTCTCGAAACCCTTTTAACTCTTCTACGGAGCCTTAAAGTTTCCTCAGAACCCTAATCTTAGAGTTCGTAGAAGTCTTAATACGGCAGAAATTCCGAAGAGCTTTAGGGATCCACTCAACATTACTTGGGCGCCATTGCTTTAGAGCATATATATCATTCACTTTTCATACTATATTTACTTTTCAGTTTTGTATTTTTACTAAAGGGGGCATTCGGATCTATGATTTTGGAAACCAGAATTTCAGGAAAACTGTTACCTTATAATTTTAAATTACAAACCCTATATTTTGGTTTTATTAACCAGGATTTTTTTCCTACCAGAAATGTCATTACCACACACTACGAAAATTTTACCAGATTTTGTTTGTGTGCGAGAAACCCTACGTTCATTATGGGAAATGGTATTATCTTCTTAAAGAACTTAAGGTATACTATAACTAAGCTTAATCTTACCTCATAAATATGGTAAACTTCGCTTCCTTCTTCAGGCCAATATCGATGACACATGGCCACACCATTTTCCATCAATCTAGACAGCATCACGATTACAACACTCCCTTGCTCCCAAATCATCTGAAACATTTAAAAATATAACATTTGCAAAATGACGTAAAACCTATTTCATAAAAAAATTAAATTTTTCTGAAGAATGAAAAGTTAAATTAAATGACAATTTTATTTTTCACTTACCTGCCAGAAATCGGAAGCAGTCTGAGGTAAAGGTCCTTGGGTTGCTATATATGCGGGGTTCCTCGGATCGTGATCAGTCTGAAAATATATAAATATTTTTTTAAAAATAAATTTTAGAGCATGTATCAAAAATAAAAATACAGTAATATAAATATAAAATAAAAATATTGATATAAAAATATATATACAGACACTCATATAATCAATGTATAAATACTTATCATTAAGTTAATAATACTAGAACAAATGCGACAAATTCAAACCGGTCATCTTAAGGTTGAAGAATAAAAACCAATCGTTATGTTTGGATTATTTTGTTTTGTCTAATAGAAATTGAACAATCTTGATTTAGATAAGATTACTAATTTAAGATATTACCATTACTAATTGGAAGTTAGTTAATTAGTATTACTAATTAGATATTAGTTGGATATTACTAATTAAACTAGTGTTAAGATATTACTAATTTATTATAATAATGTTAATAATAAAAATGATGTTAATTTTCATTGTTAATATTCAATCTGGCTGGAATATTAGTAAAATGCTACTTATTTTGATTTTTGCTAGTCGATTGCAAGCTGATTTTACTGTACTATGAGAGAAAACTAAAATTATGACTATTGATAACAAACCTGATGCCT